TGGTTTATATTCTGCATATCAGTGAGGTCATATGGTGTTTGTCTTTCTCTTTCTGGCTTATTTTGCTTAACATAATACCCTCCAGGCCCATCCATGTTGTTGCAAATGGGACGATTTTCTCTTTTTTTATGGCTGAGTAGTATTCCATTGTATATATATACACCACATCTTCTTAATCCAATCATCAGTCGAGGGACACTTGGGTTGCTTCCACTTCTTGGCTATAGTGAATAATGCTGCAATGAACATGGGCGTGCATAAGCCTCTTTGGATTGTTGATTTCAGGTTTGTTGGATAGATTCCTAGTAGTGGGATAGCTGGATCATAGGGTATTTCTCTTTTTAATTTTTTGAGGAATCTCCATACCATTTTCTGTAAAGGCTGTACCAGTTTGCATTCCCACCAGCTATGTATGAGGGTTCCTGTGTCTCCACATCAGCTTCAACATTTGTTGTTTTTTGTCTTGGTGATTATAGCCATTCCAACGGACGTGAGGTGATATCTTAGTGTTGTTTTGATTTGCATTTCCCTGATGATTAGTGATGTTGAACATCTTTTCATGTGCCTATTGGCCATCTGTATATCTTCTTTGGAGAAGTGTCTGTTCATTTCCTCTGCCCATTTTTTGACCGGGTTGTTTGTTTTTTTGTTGTTCAGTTGTGTGAGTTCTTTATATGTTATGGAGATTAACCACTTGTTAGATTTATGTTTTGCAAATATTTTCTCCAAGCTGGTGGGTTGTCTGTTCATTTTGATTCTGGTTTCATTTGCCCTGTAGAAGCTCTTTAATCTGATAAGTCCCACTTGCTTATTTTTTCTTTAGTTTCCCTAGTCTGGGTAGGCATGGCATCTGAAAAGATTCCTTTATGACCAACGTCAGATAGTGTGTTGCTTATATTTTCTTCTATGAGTTTTATAGTTTCAGGTCTCACCTTCAGGTCTTTGATCCATTTTGAGTTAATTTTTGTGAATAGCGATAGCAGATGGTCCACTTTCATTCTTTCGCATGTTCCTGTCCAGTTTTCCCAACACCATTTATTGAAGAGACTTTCCTTTCTCCATTGCACGTTCTTAGCTCCGTTGTCGAAAATTAGCTGTCCGTATATATGTGGTTTTATTTCTGGGCTTTCAATTCTGTTCCATTGATCTGTGTGTCTCAAAACTAATGCATTTTAAGAAAGCATCTTTCACAACTTGGCCTCTTAGTAATATTAATAATAATATCCACTTATTGAGTGCTTATGTGTCAGGCAGTGTGTCAGCACTTTACATGTGTGCTCTCATCTACAGCCCACAAGTAAACCTTAGGAAGGTTGTGTTTTCCTCATGTTACAGATGAGGGACCCAAGAGCATGCACAAGAGTTCCATATTAGGCGTTGGAGCCAGGATTCTGCCCACAGGCTTAACCACTATGCTTGCCGCCACCTCTAGATCGTCTTGTTCTTTCCCTCTTTCTCAGTCTGTGTGACCCTGAAGATGGAGGAAAGGCTGACAACTCTGGGCTGTCCTCTGCAAAATCCTGCTGCTGCTTCTCCTAATTCCTCATACTTATGTCCTGCTTAGGGGATGCTTCCTACAGCATGTTTATGATCCCGGTTTATGTGCTCGACCTTCCCGCCTGATATTTTTATTTCTCTCCAACAGCGGAAGCACTGTTGGGAATAATCTTATGCACATGAAAAAAAAACTGAGAAGTTACTAATAAGATTAAATTAAACTTAAGCACATTTTTAACAGTGTGTAAAGCACAGGGAGGGCTAAGCACTGTTGGAGATGAGCAGACACAAGCCAGGACCTCATGGAATTTACAATCTGGTGGAGAGAGAGGATGAGGAATAAGACTACACACATATATGCATGAGTTCATGCCAAATATGGTAAATTCCATGAGAAAAGAATAAATGAAGTGCTGTAGGGCTGGAAAGCAGGAGTACTTACACTTCCCTGGGGAACCAGGAATAAGACTGTATGATATAAGAGGATGGTTGGGATGGTTTACTCCAGGCTCTGTCACTGATACACTGATAAGAACTTGGTGTTTCTCTTCCCCAGGGCAGGCCACATCATTTACAGGGCCCAGTACAAAATGAAAATATGGGGCTTCTTGTTAAATAGTGAAGAATTTCAAGATGGCAAGAACAGAGCAATCAACCAAGCATGGGACCCTCCTTAGCACCGGTTGCATGCCCGTGGAGCTGGCCTTCCCTGGGTCTCTGTTTCCTGTTACCTTTGGGAGGGAGGGAGCCAGGTCTCACCAGCACCCAGCACAGGGCCTGCTACTCAGGTGAATCAGTGAATGACTGGAGACAAGAATGAATTGACAAGATTACACCTAATGATTTCTTGGGTTGCTTTCGGTGTTAAAATGTTATTAGACCATGATTCTGAACACTTCTTGGAGGAGACTTTTGAGATGAATCTTGAAGGATAGTAGGATTTTTATTTCTCTCTCTTTTCCCCTCTCCCCTCCCCTCCTGTCCTTCCAGTATTTTTCCATTTATCTTGTATACCCTAACGATACACAGACTGAAACCAGCAGAGGAGTTCAACATTTGAGGGATGACTCGAAGACTTAGGCCTCACTTAAGATTCCTAGAGGCAGTTTCCCACTTACAGGGACGGCCTTGCCCACAGATCACATCTCCATGGGTAGAGTCTGGTTTTTCATCTTAAAATTATTATTTTTTATTTTCATGGAACAATCTGATAGATGTTTATGAAAAAAAATCAGAAAAATATCAATGAGCAAAAAATAATTATTCATAATCCCATAAGAAATAGTTCTAATGGGATTGTAGTATAAAACTGGTTTTCAACCTACTTTACCATTCAATAACATATTATGAGCATCTTTATGTGTTAATAAGTGTCACTGTACTTTTTCATTTTTAATGGTCGTATGGTATTCTGTCATATGGTTGTCCTGTAATTTTCTTATCCAATCCACTCAAATGGACATTTGAATTGTTCTGAATATTTTTTTTTGCTATTCTAAATGGTGTTGCCCTGAATTTGCCAGGTGGGCAACTTAGTTTCTTTGTCTATTATTTTCCTCCTCCAGATAACCTCAAGATAACAATAGTACTCCCTCCTGGGGGTATTGTGTGGTGCCAGTCAGTTAATGCATGTACAGCTCTTAGCACAAATACAGAATAGTGCACAGCTGACTAGACATGCTTGATAAAAGCCATTTTATTACTTTATAGGGCCATAAGGAACCATCTTGCCTAGATCATGGATTAGGTTAATAGTAGAGCCTGGGAAGCCTGATTCCTAGTCCAGTGTTCTTTGCAAAACAGCAGGCTAAAGTGCAAGCTGGGGGAGGCATGGGCTGGGGGCTCCCTAGATTGAGTAGTTTTCTAGTGGTGTCTTGTTGCTCAGTTGTAGAGTAAGCTCCCAGGTGGCTAGGAGTCTTCTATTTTTTTTTTTCTTTCCACAGCAGAGGACAGCAGGTGCACAGCAAAGACTTGTCACTGTTCCCTGACATCTAAGAACCTGAGCAGATGTGTTCCCCATCAGCCTGTGCAGTCATCACCGCCTGTCTTTACCTCGCTGCACACAGCCTGTTAACCAGGAACGTGCTCTGGCTGAAGATTCTTGTCAAGGGCAGCTGACAAAAATCAGTTGTGTTCAGTCCAGAGGATGACTGCCCTACCTTCAGGTGTCCCAGGGATGTGGGAAGCTAGGCGTGGAGGGAGCAAGTTCTAGGCTGGCTACTTGCTGGCCCTGTGACCTTGGGCAAGCGGTTTCCCCTGTCTGATTCCTTTTCTGTAACACTCAGGGGAACTGGAGGAGGTCGGGATGGTACAGCACAGTGGTTAGCTCTCATCCCAATCTAACAATCAAAACACTCTTCTCTCCACTTGCACATTACCCTGTTTTATTTTATTCACTCTACTTTTCACATTGCAGACAATCTTGTTTATTTATTCACGTTTGTTTGTCTACCTCACTAAAACGGAAGCTTCACAAGCTTGCCTGCCTTGTTTTCTGCAGTAACCCCAGTGCCCAGCACACGCCTGCCTTGGATCCCCTGAGTAAATATGTGTTGCATGAATAAAATCTCAGAGCCTGAGTTTGAATCCCGATTGTGCCGCTTTCTGTGTGACCTTGAGCATGCCACTTAAACCCACACTTCAGTTTTTTCTTTTTTAATTTTTATTTATTTATTTTTTTCCCCCAAAGCCCCAGTAGATAGTTGTATGTCATAGTTGCACAGCGTTCTAGTTGCTGTATGTGGGACGGGTCCTCAGCATGGCCAGCGAAGCTGAGCATCGGTGCACGCCCAGGATCTGAACCCAGGCCGCCAGCAGCGGAGTGCGCGCACTTAACCGCTGAGCCACGGGGCTGGCCCCTACCCCTCAGTTTTCCCACTTGAAAAGTAGAGATTAGTAATAGTCCCTCTCTTATAAGGTTATGAGGATCAAATGAGAAAATATCTAGGAAGCATTAAGCACATTGGCTAGTATAGAGTATAATAATGATAATAGCAAACATGTATGTAGCGCGACGGCCAAGCGCTGATCTAAAAGCTTTACACATGTTAACTGTATTAATCTTCATTACATCCTACGAAATCGGTACTATTATACCACTTTACAGATGAGCAAACCGGGGCACAGGGGTTAAGTAACCTATATGCACTCAAGACACGTTAGCTGTTATTTTTACGCCTAGGGTTCCTTCCCAGCTCCCGGTGGTCGACCCCTCTTAAGGACCAGAAGGCTAGCGGGACCAGCCTGCGGCCCAGCCCGCGGCCGGCCAGGACAGAAAGGGTTACTGGGTCCCCGCGCGCGTTATCTGCCGGAGATCCGCGGGCCCGCGCGCCTCGCTCACAAGGCCGCGGGGCGGGGCGGCCAGGCGCTTCCTCGCCTGCCATTGGCGCACACGCCCTTTCCTGTCACGGCCGGGCCCGGCCCCGCCCCCTGGCCCCGCCCACTGCCAGGGCGCAGCCGGAGTGGACGGTTCCAGACGCATGCTAATGAGGGGGCGGCCGCCGCAGCCCATTGGCCGGCCGCGGAGTGTCGGTGAAGTCAGCGCCGAGTGCCAGAAAAACAGAGCGGGGCCAACTGCAGCGTGTAGTGCGAGTGGGGCAGGACGCGCTCAGACCGCCCGCCCGCCCGGCGACCCGCAAGGTAAGCCAGCGCCAGCCGCCCTCCCGCCCGCGCTCGCCCGATCGGCGGCGGCGCCGGGGGCGTGCGTCTGCCCGGCCCCCGCGGGCGGCGCCTTTGTTCAGCGCTCGGAGGAGGCGCGTTTAAAGGGCCAGCTATTGGAAGGACTTGGGGGACCCCCTCCCCCAGAGCATCCCCGGTAGTCGCGGGGAAAACTGTGGCCCTCCTTGGGCGAACCCTCCTTCCTGTCTGCTTGGTGGATCCCCAGTTTTTCAAGGAAAGTTCCCCAGGGTGCGGGGTTCCGGGGATTCAGGGTTTTTTTTTTTGTGAGTGGGGGTACGTGCGATCATGGCCTCTGCTAGGAGAGGACGTCCGCCTGCTTCAGGCTGGCAGCAGTATGGGTGGGTGGAGGAGACATCAAAGCCCGGGTGGGTTTGCGCTGTAAAGTGAAACTACCGAGGAGGGGCTCCTCTGCAGCAGCCAGAGGAAGAAGGAGGGAGCGAGCGGCAGGATGGAGGCATCTCAGGTGTGTTCATTCATCAGCATCCTCCCGGAGGAGAGGGCGGCGGGAGGGGCACAAGGACGACCCGTGTGGCCTAGGACCCGCCTGAATGAGCGAGTACGTGTGTGTGGGTCCGGGGACACTGTGTCCGCCCATCCGCCCGTGCTCCCTCATCCTTCAGAGTGACTGGCAGCATCTTGCTAGGCAGCTTATCACCGAGATGAACAGAAAGCAACTCGTTTCTCCGAATTCCCCGGCCATCCCCTGCTCTCCCCTGGCTGCTTTCCGACGTAGCTTCCTTGATAAGCGTTAGCGCCATTCAAGATAGAGGGGGCAAGAGGCTTGAAGTCGTTAATGTTCCTTTCACGGGGGAATGTGCTGTCGAATTCTGCATCCCCGTGCATCCGCTGCCGTAAGATGGCTTTGAAATTCACCAGTGCATGCTTTCTTCAGGCAGACAGAATTTATTACTCTATTACATTGCTACATAAAAGCAGAAGGGATCCCACTGAGCATGGCTCATTTTATCCAGATGCTGGGTTTTCCCAGCATATTCTGGCTGAGCCTTTGGATTTTTGTTTTAAATTGAGCACTGGGATGCTCCTGTTGTCACAGGGCCGACCTGCTGAAATTGCTCGAATTGATTTCACGGTCAATAGAAGAGAGAGGTTCCTTTAGAGACATCTTGGAACCTGTTTGGCATGACAGGCCTCTGACATCACCCCCACTTGCGCCCTTTTTCCTCTCATAAGGGGAGACCGGGGATGGCTTGTCTGTCTCCACTACCCCCCTTGGTTTTTGAGCTCCTCTAGATTCAATTTTGTGTTTTTGGTTGGAAAGGTGGCGTGGTGGTTAATTGAAGAGAAAGAGGTGGATTAAAAGTGGGGTGGGCAGCAGATGGGGACAGCAGCCTCGGTGACAGAAAACACATGCTGGATATTTGGGGACTCCAGATCTACGGCCGTTAGAGATGTAGGTGAGATAGATGGCTGTCTGTGGAGTGAAAGGCTGTGTGTGGAGTGAGAGAGAGTGTGTGTGTGTGTGTGTGTGTGTGTTGCTGTGAGGGAGGGGTGAAGAAGGAGGATGCTGCCAGCAATTTTCTACCCCACCCTCTTGGTGCTGCCTTATATAGCTCCCTGCCAGCCAAGCTCTGATGTCTCAGGCTCTTGGCCTGAGGGGACTGCAGGGAAGGGTTGGTCCATTGGCACCTTTACCCTGGGCACTGGCAGAGTGGATGATTCGGAAAGGGTTAGTTCTCCAGGGGTTGCAGAGAGCTCATTTCTCAGCTGGAGGGCCCTGAGTTGAACTAGCTCCGGTGACTTCCCAGCAGGGTAGTATTAGCAATGGAAAAGAAATGCTTTCTACCCTGTGGGTGTAGAGATGGGAGGGTATTGTCATCTTCCGTTTGACACCCACCCCCCTTTTGGCCCTTTCCTCCTCTTACCTGCTTTCTTTTATTCTAGTTGGAGAGTTTCTGTGAACTTTTCTGAAGGGATTGGGAATATTGAGGAGCGAGGTAGGAGCTATGGGAAAGGTCTAGCAGATGCTTCTTACTGGCAGAACAAAGAACTGTTCAGCTCTCCCTTTTTTTCCCCTCTCCAAAATAGAGTTCAATATAGATAGCAGAGTCTGGGGTTTTCTTTGCAGAGAATGAATGGGCAGGGTTCAGGAAAGAAATCTTTTATTAGGCAGCATTAGTAATCATCTGGTCATCCAAACTTAGCTCTGGACCCTTCCCTGGACGTGGAAATAGATTTGCTGTAGAGGGCACTCACTGGTAATTTAGGGTTTAATCTGTCTCTATGGAAAAGGAAATGGATGGTCTCAGAAAGCTTTGGTGGGGGAGCTCTGGACCAGAGGCAGGACAACTGGCTTTGATCCTGGCCACCGACCTGCTTTGGCCTGGTGGTTTCCGCTCTCTGGGCTTGTGTCCTTGTTGGTAAAGTGCAGGGCTTTGGAGCAGACCGTTTTCTGGGGTTCCTGAGAATGTTACTGTTCTTAGGTTCACACGTACAGTTCGTGATGGCGTTTTTAGATTCTCTTATGTTTGCTAAACTGATGTTAAATTTACGGTGTTGCTCAATGACATGAAAGAAGCATTCCAGGACTCAGGCTTTTGTTGGATTCAGACTCACCTTTTTCTTGATTAGTGCAACTCCTGAGGTTTTACTGTATGTAAATAATTCAGAGCTAGAACAGCCCAGAGTGAGAGGCACAGACCGTCCGAGTGGATGGTTGGCTGGGGAGACGAGGGTGTGATGACAGAATGCTGAGGAAAGGGAGTTTCTGTAGTTCATTCTCTCTTCCTGTGTGTTTAACTCACTGCTTTATTTATGGTTATACTGGTAAAGGTTTAGATATTTAGAACATGAGAGTTGGAAGAGACCTCTGTGATTGCCAGGTTCAACCCCCCTCACTGAGGAATTTGAGGGGTTGGCAGGTTTGGCGATTTGTCCAAGGTCACACAGCTAGCAAGATGTGGAGCTGGGGCGGGAACCCAGGTGGATAGATCCTAGGTCTTGTGTTCTAGATATATCTCTTAACGCCCCCTCCTCCTCCGAGAGGAATGATTCTAAGATGGGATAAAATGAGGAGGAAATAGGGGCAGAAGAAGGGAGAGAGTGGAGAAACAGACCAGGTAGGAGGTTGGGGGCCGGTAAGGTGGGAAAGGGGAAAACACAGTCTTCAAGCTTGGAAGAGAGAGGGATGGAGCTGGAAGGGCGAGGCTCTATCAGCTGTGAAATAGCAGATTTCTGCAGCCCTTAGAGTGAAGTAAGTAGGAAGAGGCTTGGCTTAGACAAGGGTGGGTGGTGGGTGGACTGAGAGTCCAGCCTGGGGCTGGGACTAACTTAGAGTCTCCTTGGGATCTCTCTTGTTGACCATCCGATTGCAGAGTGTGGTGGAGGCTGCTTCATTTCAGGGCCAACTGAGGCCTTTGGAGCCACTGGGGCACGCGGAACTTGAACATGTGGGAAGTTGGGTGTGCTGGTGGTGATGCTAGAGAATGCTGAGGTGGGACCCAGTTCTGCTGAAGTCCCAGATTTTTTTAATGCACAACAAAAAAAAGTTTTCCGTGGAATTTCTTTTCAACTCAGGCAGCATTTTCTCCTCTGACTTTCATCGGTGCTTTGTATGTTTTATGAGATAGTGTTTCATGTGCTCCCTTTTCAGAGGAGATACTTGGATATGACTGATTTACTGAACTGTAGCTCATTTGCATGGAGCTTCTGGCCTGAGACCTGAGCTGAGCCTCAGAATGTTTCAATGAGCAGTTAAAGAGCTGTGAACAGTTGTTAACCAGATCAGTAACCATTCAAAGGCAAGGATAAAAGGAGATAATACTTTGAAGTCTGTAGCCCAAGCCAACAGCTGGCCTTGAACAGTGTAATTTACTTTGGCTAACCCTTCAGGCCTCGGAAATGTCTCTGTGGATCCTTTAGTTGTTGCCTCTTTTTGTGTCTGGCTAGGCAGGTGTGTCTGTCCTTATATCTTGTGGTCTTCCCATCCTTCTTTTCCCACATCTCCCTCCTCTATACATTTTTTTTCTCTCCTCCTGTTGTATCTTTCTCCTTGCCCTCCTCCCCCATCCTTTTCTTTACTGTCAATAATATAGCTTTGTAGTGTATTTTAACACGTTTATTGCATCATTAAAATTTTATCTTCTCCGTTCTTAATTTGAAATCAGTTGAGTTCACTCTTTTTGAATGTGTGTGTGTTTTACATATAAGACAAACAAACAGAACCCAGCTAAATTGCTTTTTACTTCTTTGTGGCCTTCCATTGATTCCCTCTCCACTCCCCCCGTGCTTCTTCTGTGGTCAGTAGTGGCTCTTTATAGAAAAAAATTCCCAGCTCACTGTCATGTGGTTATTACTGTTTTTATAACAAAAACAGCTAGAACAATAGAAAAAGTTTCCACCCCTGTATTGTGGATGCAAGGGACACCCTCTCCCAAGAGATGTACCCTGTATCTTGACTTCCTTCCATGGAAAGAGTGTCTGCAATGTCTTCTCTAACAGAGGCCCGTACTCTAAGGGGTTGGGGGTACTTGTGGTGGAGCTGAGGCCCTTGTTGGTGATTCTGGTAATGCTTAGAGTTGGGGGAGGGAGGGCTAGGCTTATGGTCAAGAGGAAGAATTCAGTGTGGTGGCTTTTTTTTGTTTCCCCAGGCTGAGCTAACCCGTCCAATAGTAGCAGGACCCAGACCCCTTTGGAAAAGAATGAGATGCTTCTCAACTTTCTGATTAGTGTTGGTTGGGACCCAAGGGGTGTCTTGTGGTGACACAGGGAGGGTAGGCAGCCACCCACAGGTTGCTGATGTGAAGCCCCAGATGCTTTGAGGGATGTGTGCTGTGGTGCTTTAAACTTTTCTTCTGACTCTTATTAATGACAGAGAAGATTGAGTCTTGATGCTCAGTGGTCAGCTGGTAGGTTAATGTCTAAAGTGGGCCTCTCAAACAAGAAGTCGCCTTGAAGTCGCCAGTTTTTGTGTTAAAAATTCACATGAGTTTTGTATTCTACTC